TAGGGGGACGCCTGTTTCGATCGGACGTCTCTCGCCAACCCGGATCACCGTGGTCTTCAGCCGGGGGAGCACAAGAGAAGCCTGGCGTCGACGATGCATCATCGATGACTGGGTGGAGAACAGAAATTCGGATGTCAGAGACTGCTATGAATGGTGTGGCTACACGTTCTTCTTCGAGAAGTTTGGCCCAGAGGCTGGCACTGTGGAGGGCGAGGAAGCGATGCCTTCGCAGGCTCAAATGCCACTGTGGCCTGGAGCTGGAGGATCTCAACCCCGTGAAGGGTATGGAGGTGATGGCGGCACTTCTTCGCATGCTGCGGAGAGGGGTCGGAAAGCTGTGGAGGCCTTAACTGGCACTTCATTTCAGATGTCACGTGCCTATGACGGCACGGCAATCACTGCACGAGTCAATGTGACCTTGGAGGGTGTCCCCGTGAGCGGCTATGAGGCAAGGCGCCTTGGGTGCTTGAAAAGGGGAGAGATCGGGCCGTCCGCTTCATCGAGGGCGGAGGATCCGAATGAGGAGGCATGGAGGGTCTCGCTGGAGGATGAGCGGTTAGTTCCGCCACAAGCTGATGATTTGCCTGTTTGGATGGGCGTGAACACGCCAGTAGTGGGGCCTCCAGGATTGAATTCTGATGGCGAGGACTCGCGATCGGCTGGAAGCTTTGAATTTTTGGGTGAAGCCGTGGAAGAAAAAACCTACGGTGGATCCCCATAGGTATGCTGGTTTCATTGACCCAGCATAGGGGGAGTGTGAATGGAAAAACGCACGACCCAAAGCATACCTTTTCATGAAGGTCATGAACACCTGAGAAAGGTGAACCGGTCAATACGACCTGCGTTTGGCTCAAGGAACAACGTGAGCGGCTGTTTTTTGTCGGTCGCTCTTGAGGCTTTTTCCATAACCACAGATTTAATCCAAGGCTTGCTGTTGCTGTCCTGGACACCAGGGGCCCCATTGGGCGTCCAACGGACGAAGCCTCCCAAGTTCTCAAGGTCGAGGTCCTGAGAAAAAGCAACTTCCATGACTTCTTTATCAAAAAATGGAAGGACTCTCTTAGGTGGAGCCATCTCTATTAGGTTGGAGGCCATTGAGATTAGGTTGGAGGCCATCCCTATTAGGTTGGAGGTCATTGCTATTAGGTTGGAGGCCATCGCTATTAGGTTGGAGGCCATCTCTATTAGGTTGGAGGCCATCGGGCCATCGCTGGTAGGTTGGAGGGCATCGACATTAAGTTGGAGGCCATTGCTCTTAGGTTGGAGGCCATCGCTATTAGGTTGGAGGTCATTGCTATTAGGTTGGGCGCCATCTCTATTAGGTTGGAGGCCATCGACATTAGGTTGGAGCCCATCGCTATTAGGTTGGAGGCCATCGTCATTGCTATATATTGCTATTAGGTTGGAGGCCATCGCTGGTAGGTTGGAGGGCATCCACATTAAGTTGGAGGCCATCGCTCTTAGGTTGGAGGCCATCGCTATTAGGTTGGAGATCATTGCTATTAGGTTGGAAGCCATCTCTATTAGGTTGGAGGCCATCGATATTAGGTTGGAGGTCATTGCTATTAGGTCGGAGGCCATCGCCTTTAGGTTGGCCTATTAGGTTGGAGGTCATTGCTCTTAGGTTGGAGGCCATCTCTATTAGGTTGGAGGCCATCGCTAGAAGGTTGGAGGGCATCGACATTAAGTTGGAGGCCATTGCTCTTAGGTTGGGGGCCATCGCTATTAGGTTGGAGCCCATCGCTATTAGGTTGGAGGCATCGCCTTTAGGTTGGAGACCATCCCTATTAGGTTAGAGGTCATTGCTATTAGACTGAAAAAGCTCGACGGCTCCCCTTTTTGCCGTCCCGGTGCCACGACGGGCTGCGGTTAATCGACACCAGCCCCCCCCTTTGGAGCTGACGTCCGCCGCTGCCGAAAAGCTCGTTTTCGAGCGGCAGCATCACTCCGGAGCTTCTTGGCTTGGCCGCCTCGGTGTCTTTGAGTGCCCAGCTGCCCATGGCCATCACCTTCATCAAGCGGCCGTTGCCAGCGAGCTTTGTGAGATCATCCGCAATGATCTCTTCGCCGGGCACCCATCTCACCATCCTCGAGGCGCCGTCCTCCTGGAGCGCTTGGCGCATCGCCGCCACATCGATGGCGAGGCGCTTGTCCTCTCCCAACGCTGAGCCATTGAGGAGATCGTAGCCAGTGCGCGAGTCAAGCACTGACAGCTGCCTCCATTTGGCCACAGCACCCAACCAGCCGCAGAGCGTGAACGCTCCATCCAGGGCCTCCGCCACGAATGCCCTCGTGTAATCCGCCTCCTCCATGGTCGGTGCGGCCTGGGAGATCTCGGCTGCTAGCGACGAACGAACCGCCCTTTGAGCACACCTGCAAGCGATCACACAGACAGGCGCTTCTCCTTCTAGCACCTGGGGATTGGCCACCACCAAAACTGACCCTCCTTGTAATCGGCCTCGAGGCATGCCAGCAAAGGAGGCATCGGACACTCCGACGACGATCAACTGGTCCATGCCACATCCAAGCTTCTTGAACACCTGGGTGTGTGGCTCACATGCCCGCTCCACCAGCACCTTCAGCTCCTGCAAAGCGGCCGGGTCGTTGGCGCCTGCCAGCTGCTGGATCCTCGAGCACCCATACAAAAGATCAGCTCGGGCCTGCCGCGCCAACCAGTTCAACTGCCCAATGATCACACCGATCCAGGACTTCTCATTGGGCATCAACGGAGCCATGGCCCTGAAAGCTGATCTCAATGGAGGATCCTTCACCTTCTTGGCATACTCGTTCATCTGCAGCTCAGCTGTACCGTCGGGTAGTTGTCGTTCACAGCGGCCACAAAACTTGGTGAACTCCTCGGGGTGCACCCAGTCACCGAAGGTGAACAGGCCCTTGAGCTTAGGACACAGTTCCTTCTCGGCCACCTGACTGCAGATCATCAACATGCAGGGCCAGCATGGCCCAGAGCTTGACTTCGGTGTCAAAGAACGAAAAGACACCTGGAGCAAGCTGCAACTCCTTGCCACCAATGGCGATGATGTCCCGCCTGAAGCGTTGGTACCACAAACGAGGTGACTCCGCTAGGCCAAAGCCCGCCTTCTTCATGCGGAAAAGGTCCGTTCTGGCTCCTGGTGGCACCTTTGACATCAAATACTGGCGGACAAAGAGTGGATAGTTGGTGGGCGATTTCAAAAACGCCCGCCGCCCCTCTGGAAGATAATCGCCCTGGAGAAAGGCAGCTGAGATGTCGGCGAAGTACATCTTCCAGTTGAACTGAGCGGCCACCAAGCAAATGAAATTGTGGGCCAAAAGTGAAGCTGTTGGCGCTTCAGTTGCGTAGTCTCCAGCGCGTTGGTCACGATGACCGGCAATCACCAGTCGGGCCTTGAGCTTGGCGTCATCCAGATCCTCATCTGCAGGATGCGTGTTCTTTGGGTCAGCCTTGTTCACCAGCACGAAGCGACTGGGCAGGATCTCTGATTCATGAACGGGATCCTCTGGCATGACGGGCTCCAGGGCATCGTGCTCAAAGTAAATCTCCAAGCGATGATGGGCTGCTTGAAGGCAGTTGGTTCCACTGCCAAGAGGATCCAACGATGCTCTTTGGACATATGAATCTTCAGATGGAAGCTTTTTGTTTAAAACGATGCCGCGTGTTATAAAAGCTGTCGCGCCAACTTACTGCAAAGGATTGCAATTGCGTGTGTGCATTTCAGCAAAGACAACACATAATGAGGCTCAAGAAAAACAGGAACATAACTTTTTTCACCACACTTGCCATTTTTTACCACACAACACACCCAGCTTTATAATATATTTATGCTGGGCTGCAATCTTTGTGTGTGCAACCATGCAAAGCGCAACGGTTTTTTTATCTCGATTTTGGCGTGGTTGTTTGCAAACATCCATGGAAACGGCAGCGCGCGCTGCCTAAACTTAACAGAAATGGAAACGAAAGCGCGCGCTGCGCAAAAGTAGGCGAAATGGAAACGGAAGCGCCCAACCCCTAAAACCATCGTGTCGCCAGACGCTTCCGTGGAGAAAACTAAACGGAAACGAGAGCGCGCGGTGTCGCATGAATCTGGTGTTCTTATTTTTTTGGATTTCAGTACTATAGAGGTATAGGGTTATATGAATAAAAAACGGAACCCACGGAACTAACCCACCTGATTCACGACAACTCGCGTTCTCGTTTGAGTCCACTCGCTGTCCTCTTGCCGCGGTTCAAGCTGATCGCGGCCATTTTCTTTCCACTTCCCCTTGTGCACGTTCACTTTTTCGTAAGCGACCAAAACCTTTAGGTCAAACATTTCAACTTGTACGTTTCAAACCTGTACGTGAGGCATATGTGTGTGTGTTTGGGGTTGCACGTTTCTAGGGTTGAGACACTCACAACACAGACAAAAAGGACTTGCGCGACCCTTTTTCAAATATATATTATAGATATGTATTTATCTAATGATGCAAGACCCCGGATTTCTTACTCCAAAAAAGGAACACGGTTCGAAGTTGCATGGACCTGCGTGGACCTTCAAGTTCTTCACATCCACATGACTGTACACAACCCACATGCGTTTCAGGTGTTTGAACATCACACCACTGCATGCTTTTGCATGTTTTTTCTCGCGCGCGGGGCGCCGGGCGGATGGTTTCTGCCCTTCTACCTTGAAGGCTTGGTCTCCCAGCAAGGCTTCAAGACCCCTCGAGACTTGAATGGGTTCCGACACAAACTTCTTTGGTGCGTGGTGCACGATTTTCTTTTTGTATCATGTTCAAACCCACTCAAGCCTGTGGCTCCTGGTACTTACGCACCATCAACGCTAGGCACAGCAGGTACCGACTGAAAATGCGGGATGTCATGGTCTTGCCATGGCAGGCAACTGCCAGCATTTTTATGGAACCAAGAAAACTTTCCTCCGAAAAGGTGTTGAAAGAGTTGAGATTAAGGGCAGTTTCCTTCAAGAAAATGGCCTGGTGCATAACATAGTGGCTCTTCGGCCTCATCCGAAAGAGAAGCTCACGTTTCTCAAAAAATATGAACTCAACCAGCTGAAACTTTTGGCGTGCAACATCAGGGCATCAGCAGCTTCGGAAGCTGAAGCCCAACTCATCACTAGACCACTGGAGTCCAGGGTTTCAATTGCGTGCTGCAGGCTGTAGCAACAGGTCGCAAGAACTTGTAACACTTGGTCCTCAGATCAACGCGTTTCGAAACTGCGACCTCAGGGGTCCTATTTGTGGGGTGTAGTTCAACCCAAATATGAAAATGTGTTCGTTTCATGGCTGGGGGACACCAGGCGACCCATCTGCACACCTTTGGCATTTCAAAGCCACCCACCAAATCAATACCTTAACGTGGATGGCCTTGTACTTGGAAGATAACTCTGCGTAATCGGCGCCTCCCAGGCTGGCATCGTTCAATGGTGGCTTCGCAGGGAGGCTCAACCTGAGAGCCACAGGGAAAACAGGGTTGGCGGCTGTTTTTACCACCCACTTCAAAACTAGTGCCTTTGAGAAACCCATAGGCTTTTGTATCCCGCAAGACTTCTTTGTGGATGTGATCAAAGACCGTTTCCATGTTGTCACTGACATGGGTGTAGACCCCTTGGCGCACTAGGGTTCTTATGGCTGATGCCACTAGATCACGACCTGTTCCCAAATAAATGTTGTGCATCAGGTCAAAAGCCAGCGTTTCAAGCTTCCATCCTGGAACGCATCTCCACACTGAATGTGGCCCTGGCATGGCCAAGTATTGCCGGTGGTCGATCATAGTCTCTCTCCATGCGGCATGGTCAGATGTGTTTTTATAGTTCATACCATCAGGGCATCCCTGTCCACAAGCTGCCAGGCATGAATCGCACATCCTCACATGACCCTATGTTTTTCCAAGAGCCCATGAAATGATCTCCAAATAGAAGAACCAAAGTAGACAAGGAAAGCTTCACTTAATTGATGCTGTGGGACAAATTGGAATTGTAACTCCGAGTGAAGTCATGCATGATCTTCCTGGCTTTAAGATCTGCCTTCGTGGTGAAATAGCAGGCCCTTAGATGTGGGTTTTCATCCCGCAAAGCTAAGCTGGGTACAATTTATTGTTACTGACAACTGTAATAGTATAATCTGTATTTTTGCTGGTGAGATTCCTCCACCCCTTGGCCAGCTGTTGGCCAGCAATTTCAGCCCTGTACCCTGTGAGCTCTTCCTCGAAAAATCCCACCGAGGGCGCTTTTCCATCCATCGAGATCTGGATCGACCAGGCAAAGAGCTGAGCAACGGTCGTGTTCACTTGCTTTCGAACCTGGGCACGGCAGCGTGGTGGGTCTGGAATGCTCAAATGTTTGTGGGGCCACATCAGGAGAATAGAGCAAACAGTTTTGGTGGAGGTCAGCCTAAAGACACATGGCCTGGCCCCAAACCCATGGTCCCAATACATATATGCAAAAAAGCAACAACTGCACATGGCTTGTGTTCTTTGAGCCAACCCCACCACTAAAGACCTAGGTACCGCTTCACTCCTCATGTGCCTTTCGGCTATGATCACGAATGGAAATTTTTGCAGAAGGGGATCTTGAACAAGTCCGACTGATCCAAACAATGAAGCCACGCTCCACACACAAAACTCGTCATCCGTGTACATTTGCGCACCATCATTGTGAAGTGTAATTGGGACAAGTCTGTCCAAAGGTGAAGAACTCAGTGCAGGGTGGCCCCTCCACCCTTCCAATCTGCGGCAATGTTTCCAGAAACACATTCTAGATTCATCAGACATGTTTCCCTTTATCAAGGAGTCAAAAGCAAATGGGTGCCCTGATAGCGCGTGCAAAATCTCATGTGGCAGCAAGACTCGGACTGCTTGTTCTTTTGGAGTGTAGCTGTCAACCTGGGCAGCGGGCGTGGGAGAAACGTGCAAGAGGAATACAACAACAAGAAGAAGAAACCAAAAGGTGCGGTTTCTTGCACGATGGAGATTGGGGAAACGTGAAAAGGTTCTTTTCAAAGACTAGACTCTTGAAGCTTCAGGGGGATGACATATGGCTGAAGCTGGAATCCAAACAAAGTCGAAAGCCACCGAAAAAGGTCTCTTTCACAATTGCTGGGGTAGGCTCCGCCACATCCCAGAGAAGCCAATGCTTCCACTGCCTTGTGTCCCAAACCATCATCTTTCATTTGGTTTGCTAGATCAACCGCCCCAGACACAGAGAGCTGCCCGTGACCAATCATGTCCAAGAGCTTCTGTAGGGTCCCTGATGAAGAATATTCTTCAACCCGTCGTCTCTTCCTGCAATGGCAGGGCGGCGGAGCTCAACAGCTTCGATGATACCGGTTGGGGCACCCGAGCCTCATGGGTTGCTGCGTGACTCCTGGGACGGGCAGCTGAATCGAAGAGCCGACGCATCGTTTGGGTCGGGTTGAGGGCAAAGCGTTTCATCCTTTGCTTTGGAAATAGCCGATGGCAAAACTTGTCATTTGTTTTCTTAACCACGACCCCAAAAATTATACCTTCCCTTTTTCCTTCCCTTTTTGACGCGATTGCTCAAGATGCCAAGATTTGCGATCAAATGGAAATGATCAAACTATAGAACTGGCAAGATCTGTTGAGCTCATCAGTTGCGCAAAACGAAGGTGGGTTGAGCTGATCCTTTGAGCAAAACAAAGGTGAGTTGAGCTGATCGTTTGAGCAAAATAAGTGGGTTGAGCAAAACGAAGGTGAGTTGAACCGATAAGTTCATCACAGTAAGGAACAACGCAAAAGCTCAAATCCTTGCCAGGCACCCCAATGCCAAATGATATCATTTGGCTGCCCCAAACTCAATCAAAATTCACAGCGGCATCGCTGCTCACTTGGCAGCTTTGCCAGCCTTCGTCTTCTTCTTAGGCTTCAAGCTTGACAAAAAAGCTTTGGCCGCGCCCTGCAACTGTTGAGTGGCAACACCTTTGCTATCGATCTCAGCCTCCAGGGATTTGAAGCTGCCGCCTGTCTTGACGGCGTTCTTGACCTTGGAGAAAAGCTCTTCCACCGAGTCGACGTGGTTGATGATCTTCTTGCTCAACTTGTCAGCGAACTCAAGACCACGCAAAGCCACGCCATTGGTGCGAGCAACCTGAGCCTCCTTCAGGCAATCATGCATCTTCTGCTGGATACGCTCTTGAGGCGAGGTCTTGGCAATCTCCTCGAGCTTCTCTTCCTTGCTCTTCGGTGGCTTGGTCTTTCTGTTGACCACCTGTGAGGGCTCATGCATGAAGAGCAAACAGAAGGATGCGATCAAGACTTGTGAACATTAATCAAAAGCCACAAATGAAAGCGTATCTTTTTTTGAGGTGGCCTTCTCCCCAAGAGAGTCCAATAAGGATTTGGCGCCGGCGCTCGAAGCTGTAGTCACCGCCGGCATTGCACCAGCCCTCATGAATCCTTCATCACCATCCGTGATGGCCTGAAGCAAGCCAGCGTCAACGTTCGCTTTGGCTTCAAGCTCTGTGGTGTCCTGAAGGGTGTGGGCGTGCGCCCTACATAAACATGGGGAGCAAAGGAACCTATTAGACTCAGATGAAAACATCAAAGTTGCAAAGGAATTTATTGGAATCAGATGAACATAGATGAACACATCAAAGTTGATGGCGCTCCCACTCCTTGGTGAGCTCCTTATGAGTCAGCTGCTGCGGCGCTCGAACCCAATACCAGGTTTCCTGTATCAAGGGAAGGAGACAAAAACCCTCTATGAAGGGAAGGAGAAGAAACTCCATTCGCACAACTAAGACAAAAGGGAGACAGAAAACCTTTGCACATGAGAAAGCTTGCTGTGACTAGCAGAAGGGTCATCTTCGTCGTCAGGAAAGTCTTCGTCCCGGTAAAAAAGCCCGGCGGCTTTGCGAGAGGCCATGATCTTGGTTGCCTTCTCAACGCCTTTCTCCTCCTTCAGAACGCGCCCCTGCTTGGCAACCCATCCACGCTGTGACTCGTGCGATTCCTCATGGGTCCTCTTGACCTTCAGGGCAACAGCATCCCAGCTCTTGCCCATGTCCAGCCACATGTTGAAGCATTCCAGCTTGTTTTGCTGGAAGAACTGGTGGACCTTGAACCGCTCCTTGGATCGCACGAAGGAGTCCCAATCCTTCTTGTTGGTCACGCTGTTGCGCACGGGCTTTGCGACTGCAGACCCTGTCTTACTTTCTCCCTCCTTGTTGATCTTGTCCAAGGTCACAGGTTCGCCCTTGTCGTCTTCTTCCTCTGAAGCTTCATCTCCTTCTTCCTCTGAGCTTTGCTCAGCTTCTGCATCCTCTTCCCTCTCCTCATCTTCTTCATCATGACCCTCTTCTTCTTCGTCCGGATCACCATCTTCTCCATCCTCATGATCTCCATCTTCGTCAGGATCTGATTCACTCAGATCCTCAGCTTCAGCCTCATCGTCCTCAAGATCATCTTCGTCTTCCTCTTCTTCTGCAGGGGATGGTTCAAGTCGCTCCTTGAGCTCCTTCACCTTGCGCCTTGCTCCACTTGACAAGGATGATGAAGCGGAAGACGGCCTGCTCTTGCCTTTCTTCCCTTCGAAGACATGCTTGATCTTGGATTTGATGGCAGGGACATAGGTGATCTTCTTCTCCTTAGCAGGCGCTGCTGCTTTGGCCTTTGATTCTCCCCTGTCCCGCCTGCTCCTTTTTGCATCCACTCGCGCCTCATTTGACGCTCCCCTCTTCCTTTCTGACTCATGCCTGGCGGCGGCAGCACTCCTGGAAGTTGATGATGTCCTCAGGGCTGATGGCCTCTGCCCAGCAGCAGCAGTCGGCCTGTCGGAGCTCTTGCCTGTGACCCTTCTCCGAACTGGCGGTGGGGCCATGGCAGTTGACCGTGCGGCGCAATGCTCAATCCCTCGATCACAAAAAAGCTGCTAGAGGATTAGTTTCGCAGCATTGAGAAAGTGGAGACATGGTGAAATTGTATGGATTTTCCCTGCAACTCTTCTCGGAACTGCTCGATTTCTGTGAGTTCTACAAATCGCAGCGTTTCGCAGTCCCACGCAGCATTTTCGCAGTTGTTTCGCACATGATTTTTTTTCATGAATTCTCAAAAAATTACACCCCCCCCCAAAAAAAAAAGAAAACATGGAAAAAATAGTGGAAAAAATCCCGCTCATCCAGACCAACCCCCCTCAATTCGCACGCTCCGCCGTTTCGCACGCTTCGCAGCGTCGCTTCGTGGGCTCCTCGAAGAGACAAGCTCCTTTTCAAGAAGGTGCGGGGCATGTCCTGCACGGGCTAGGCATGGCTGGAAATCAAACCCAACCCAACTCAAGTGGGTTGGGATTGGGGATTGGCTTTCGATGAGGGCGGTCATCAACAACCCAAAAGAGAAGGCTCCCAGAACCTTGTTTTCCCGATTCCCCTTCTGCGGTTTTGGAACGCAGATCAATTACCCACACCATCAGCGTGGGAAAGCATGTAAACAGTGCCACGGTTTCAGGACAGCGTATGAACCACACCTTCAACTTCAACTATCTATATATCAAAATATAGCTGTACCTTGTGGGTCAAACAATAAATACATTCGACTTGTGGCTCATGATCTGTCCATAGAAAGCCAGCTTTTAGCGGGACAGAAACTGTATGACACTGTTCAAATCAGCATGGTCGCTCCAGAGCTTGTTCACTCTGGGGCGCACATCAACCCTGCGATCTGATCCTTTGGCGGCCCGGTACAGAGCGCGAGCCATTCGTAGGTGCTTCATCTTGTGGCGTGAACGGCAAGCAGAGAGCGCTTGACCAAAACTAGGCAGGACGTGTGAGAAGGTGAGTGTTGGGAGGAATTGCGGGATCTTAACACCAAGAGTTTATAGTCAATCAAAGGTTGGTTTGTGACTGTACTCCTGATCAACCCTCTTAAGGGTGGGGGGTTGGGAAACTACCTGGCGAGGGTGAAACGGTACGGTTGAAGGAAAGCTTGCTAAGTGGGATAAGACACTATTTTGGGTACGCTTGAGATCCTTTCAATCCAGCTCCGCCCGTGATGCGGCTGCGCCCCTTTGAATCGCGGTAGTGGCGCACCATCTCCACGTTTTGAAGCCGCCGACGAACCTTGAAGTCTTCCAAGTCCTGGATGTCCGTGTGGCCTCAATGTCATTGCGGTCTCAGGGCATGTGTTCGCCTCCCCAAAAACTCTATCACTATCAACAAAACCAAACCAAAACCTTTTCATGTTGTCAAAACACTGGAGTATAGCCATGTTGGCTTCAAAGTGGGCGCTGTGAAGTCTCCCATCATCATGCTAAACCGGTTCATGGTAACCAACCCCAGGAATCGCTGGAACAAAACATGTTGCTCCATCAAGCTGGATGATGGCTGCTCCAAGATGAACCACACCCCCTGGGCTGCTAAGATCAATAAGATCACCAGGGTTCTAGATGCCAGCAGGTTTCCTGCCTTCACAGCAGGAGAGCTAGTATCACCCATGGGCTTCGAGTGAGACCTCTTGGTTGAGCCGCGCGACCTGGGTGCAGGCAACAGGCGATATATCTACAGGTTTTCCAATTAAACAATATACTGCTTTTAACCAAAACGCGGACATATTGAAAAATGTTCATTTGCACCAAAGCGCATAAAGACAAAGGATCCACAAACAGGCGCCACAAGAGCAGACCCTCCTTCTTTCATGTTGCAAGCCTTGTATAGGCTGTTGGCAAAACCCTGGTCTGTTGCGATGTCCATCTCACTGCCCCCTAACTCCAAATCCATTGCAGCAGCGTGTCTGCCCACCTAATGGGGAAAACGGGAAAACCAGTGTGAGTTCATATTGACTTTGTGTTTTGATTCAACCCTCCCAGCAAAACCCCTTCGGCCTCGAGCTCCGCCTTTGTGACACTCATTTGCCCAGCGAAAAGCTCCAGGTGGTCCAACGGCTTGTTAAAGTCCAGCTGGGGGACAGCAAAGATCAATGAAACCAATGTTGCCACGACCTAGATGTTTGTTGGACCCCTTTGAGATTCCCTATTCTGGGCAGCGTGAAGAACATCATGCAGTGTTTTTTGGAACACCGGAGAGAATTCCAATACCCTCCACACGCTCGATGCGTCAATTTGTGGACCCATCAAAAACATCCCAACTTCAGGCGCGCAGCAGCTGGCGCCCGCAGAAAGTTGAGGCCAGCCAAAATGCGAGAGAGCTGCATAGTCTTAGGGTCATTGGAAGAGGTTGGCCTGACAACCTCCTCCGCCTTGAAAGGCATGGATTTCTGGTTCTTCATAACAAACTTCTTTACACGGGCTTCATCCAGCACCTGCCTTTTAACCATGGCTCCAGAAAGTTCACAAAGAATGATCCGGGCCACAAAAACTGCCTGAATAAGATGAAGGTTAGCTCACATGCGAATCAATTGCTATCCAAGTGCGACCACTATTTTTTCACGCTGATGATAACCAGCTTCCCTTCAGGCCAGTGCGCAGCCCGCGGTCCTCCAACGCTGGATGATCTTGCGAAGGTCACAGGGATGGAGGGAGGGCGAAGGTGTACCTGGAGGCGAATCAACCACGAACCCCAGTGTTCTATAGAATTTATCAATTGAAACAAAGCTCGATGGTCCAAGTGTTTTCTTCTCTCCACGCTTCATCGACAGAATCCTGACCGCTAAGAAGCTTTGGGTCAGAGCTCTTAAACTTTCGAAAGAGCCACTACACCATCCTGGTCGTGCAGTGGGCGAACCCCAAACAACCCCAAGCACATGCGCATGATCATCGTCGGATTGGCTTTTTTGTTTTTTGGAGCAAAGATATGTTCTACAGTGGGCTGGAACTCAAAAGCTGAACTGACACCTATGCGCGTGTGATCCCAGCTCGAGCTTTGGCCTCACCCCAGGCGCTGGTAGGTCCTCCATGCTTTGCCCACGTGATCTGGGCCATGGAAGGCTTTGCCTTGCCCTCCAAAGGCTTCTTCACGACGTAGGCCTTGTTCTTGCACTGCACTTCGATGGCCTTGCGTTTTTTGCGAGTTGGAGTTGGAGTTGGAACATGATGAATGAATTATGAATAGCTGTTAAACAAACATGGGAAAATATATTGACGCAAAGTTGAGAATCAGCCCCGTTGATGTTCACCGTATAGCTGAAAGCACCACGATAGAGAGCCTGCTTGGTCGGTAGCGCTTCCTCCGGAAGGGATTCAAGATTGAACCCCTTGAACTCCCGGACTTTCTCACCAGGCTCACCCTCCATGCGGCGCTGTTCCGCATTCTTCTCCTTCTTGCGAATGGAGGCCTCCTTGCGATCTTCCTTCTTGAGCTTGGCCATGCGTTTTGCCTTGGAGTTCAAACGAAAGACGGGTGCCCAAAGCAAACCTGCTGGCTATAACCTTCTTAGGATTTTTGTGATGCCTTGAGACAGTTCACAAAACCGAGAGGCAAAAAGCCAGCGTGCAAACCATTTAGTGATTTGATTCAAGAAACGGACTGCCTACCAAGCACTGGCTGTGGTGTGAAGTCCAACTCCCTTTTCACATGGTCTGCCGTCTTTGGCTTTTTGGTAGCTGGGGTTTTGGTCTCTTCAGACAGCCCCTCCGCCACCTCAGCCTTCGAGGCCTTGCGCGAGGCATCCTCCGCAGCTTTCCGCTTGGATCCCTGGGAGGTCATGAACACTGATTTGGGAAGAGTAGGGCGACCACATTTGGACAGGTCAGGCGATTAGTTTTTTTGTTGCAACCTCTTTCATGCTGACTTTCACACTGACTCGACGATGGCATTCCTCGCACTTGTTTGAGGCCCCGCGTCAAACCTCCTGCCTTCGCAGCCGAGCTTGAAGGAGCTGGGGGCCGGTCCTGCACGGGGCGGTGTTTCTGGGCAAGAGTGAAACTCAATGGATGGAAAACAGTTGGGGAAACACTGAACTTTTTACATCATATCCAGTCGAAGATACATTTTTTGGCAGACCCTACAATTACCGTCCTCCTGCTTTTGAACTTGCAGCCATCGGTTGAAATGGGACATAGTAGCCAGAAGCTCAAAAAGTTTGGGGCCATAGATGCGGAAAGCATTGCGGCAATGCCACATGTACTCTTCGAACATGGGGTGCCTCAGTGACGCACAACATCGGAGTCGGTTTCAGCTCCACCCCAAACTCTATATTCACACTTTATAGGCGTTTGTTTATGCTAAACAAAATGCAACACTCCCCAATCCCCATCAGAATAATTCAGCAATCAAGATACTCCTCAAGCAAGGAATCCTCTTCCCTCAGGAACTCCCGAATTTCACACAAAAGCGTCTCCCTGTAATGCCTCTTCAACTCACGACTTGATTTTGTAAACCCCTGGCTGGAATAGAACTTGCCAAGCCAACCGCTGGACACTTGGGAATCCATAGGCTCATCAACATCTTCATAGCCCAGCTGGATCGTGTTTGCACGAATCAGCTCTTGTCGCTCTTGTTCTGATTCAGACGTTGAACCAGCCACAGGAACAGGAGAGGGCTCCTCTGCCTCCACAACCTGTTGCTCTGGCGTGCGCACAAGGGAAGCTGGTCGCACATCCTCGGACTCTGGGTCCGAGCCGGCCTCATCACTTGTGTAGTCAGCGTCAGCTGCATCAGGATCCTGATCACCCTGTTCTTCATCCCCCTCGTCAGCCGCAGCCAGCTCAAAAGTGCGGCGTTTGCCCTGCAAGGGAGAAACCACCAAAAGCTCTTTCAACTTGGCCACGTTGCTGTCATGGGCTCCACCTGGAGAGTTGCGCCAAAGGTAACGCAAACTTCCAATGCACGCCTTGGCTTTGCAGCCTTCTTTGGCAGCCAAAGTGCTCCTGCACTCGTCTTGCTGCGGACGAAACAGGCGCCGGCGCATCAGCGCATCCAAATAGAGGAAGCAATCTGCCAGAAAGTAGCCCGAAGGCACCTGAAGCAACGAAACAATAGACCCACAATTTCCCTTCTGGACACCATTTTTTTGGTACACGCTTTACATGTCTTTTTTTTCATGCCCTGGCCTGGTCTGGGCAGCATTGCACCAGAGGAAACAGCCAAGTGAAATTCTTTGCCAAGGTGGCTGCCGATGGTTTGGCATCCATATCCACAACCAAAAGCTCACTCCCTTTCCACTCTGGGTTGCAAATCAACTCCATCAGCTCCATCGGGAGGTTTGCATGCATGCAGCGAGCCACCTTGTCCTTATGTTGACACACGTGTGAATGCCCGGTGACACAATCATTTGCGAACCATGAAGATAATGAGACAACACCAAATAGAAAGTAGGGCTCCGCAACTTATTGATTTCAAGAGTCTACCTTTTCCTGGGTCCATGTGACTTTCCCTGGCCTCATAGATCGCCACCTCGTGATCGTTGCCAGCTTGAGTTGAGGCTCACCCCCTTCCGCGTCAGGAGAAAGCTGGTTTTCTTGAGCGCGTTCTACTTCAACCAAGGCCATGTCGGCAGCTGTCGGTGGCAGGGCGAGTTTGCAAACACTTGAAAGACACTGCGCTGAGTTGGAGGGACGTTCAAGTCGTGAGTGTGCATGCGTGATCTTCATGCCATTTTGACACCCTCACACATGGACCCATGCCATGGAACTGCATTGCATGAACATTGAAATTGGAGTGCTTTAAACCCTTCGATCTCACCCCAGCACAGCCCAGTTTGGGGCACCTCTCCACAGCTCCAGGCCAATCCGCTCATGAGCGAGCGCGTAGATCCGGGTTCAACCACTCTTGTCTCAACATGTGAATTGGATTGGTTTTTGTCAAGTGACATGCCATGACGTGCGCTCCGTTGAAAGCGCTCCAACATACTCCAACCAAAAACCATGGAGAACCTCACAGCATTTTAGCAATATAAGAATCTAGGCAAACTTAACAGCCATCTTTACAATTTACATAATGATTTGAACCTATCTTCTCCATGGGTACTCACCGCCCGGCTCGGTCTCACCAGAAGAGTTGCGGCGCGAAGCCGGGCAAAAAGGAAAGGAAAAACACGAAGCGAAACGGGAACCTGTGTATGAACCCCGTGTATGAACATGCTCCGCTGTGCGATGTTGCCGGCTTGCGGCGCCCCTGTTTTTTCTTTTGAGCATTTTCTTTTTAGAAAAAAACCTTGCGCATTTGTTTGCAGTTGAAAACCGGGACCCACCACCGTTGGACATAGACCTTTCTCACACGTGAACTTTTACACTTTGAGGTGGCAAACAACTATGTGTGCCACGCACGCCATGCGAACACTGGGCAAAGCTTCGGTTAAACTTTGGCCTGTCTCAATATGGTGGTGGATGTGCGCAAACCAAAGCGCCCCGATCCAGCAGACGCTTGCGTGTGCAAAGTGGGTGGGCGGGTGGGCGGTGGATGGCTGTCTCCAGGTGGGTGGGTGGGCAGTGGATGGATGGATGTTTCCAGCAAACAACAGCAAAACAACAAACAACAGCATGACGCTGTCACAGCAAGAAACGGCGTCCAAAGCAGAGCTTTGGATCCTCCCGGTGTAGTTCAAGTCTCAACTTCCCAGTCTCGGGCTTGTCCACATCTTGTAGTAGGGCGTTGCCGCCCAACTCGGCCAAGTCGAGAAGCCCACTTTGAGCACTGGCAGGAGCAGGTGGAGGCAGAGCCGTGGCTGCAGCGAATGCCTCAAAGTACCCCAGTACCGTCATCAACATCTGGGTGTGTTGTTCACTCTCCAACGGCATACCGTGCCCGAGTTCTGTGACACGCACCTCTTTGATCACTTCCTTGTAGGATTGATTGGCCCGGGCTGCACGCCGCCATAGTTC